TTTAATGCTGATAATGCAGTCATTCCCCATGATGAGATATAAAATGTAATTACCTCTATGAGGAGATGTGCAAAGAGCAGCCAATCAGTTGAAAGGGAGTTTCCTTAGGGGTGTGGTTTGCTTCTAATATACATATGGACATTCTGGGAAAATTCTCTGGCTTTCTGCTGGATTTAGATCCTGCATCTGGCTCATTATCTCCAGTTCTTGGACTTGAACCAGCAGCCTGCTGTATTGCCTGTCAATGACAGGATGTTGCTGCCTTTGCAGCCTGTGAGCCAACAGCCTGCCATTTTATGCACTGATCTTGGATTTGTCAGCCTCCTAAACCAGCAGCCTGCTATATTTCCTGATGATCTTAGATTCGTCAGCGTCTGAAGCTGCATAAGTCAGGAGAAGCCTCCAGCTTGACATCTGACCCATGGACATGGAACTTTCCAGCCTCTACACATGTGTGAGCCATTTCCTTGAGATAAATTTCTCTCTATATATAAGGTTCATTGGTTTTGCTCCTCTAGAGAATGGAGCCTAAAACATTTACTATGCCGGGAAGTGAAGAGGAATGGCATCACATTCATCATAAAAATAATATTTCAAAATCTACTCTGAAGTACAAGGCTGTCAGTGATAGGATAATATCTATATGCCTACAAGGAAGGCAGTTAATACAACTATTGTTTATTAGTGCATCAACCACTAATGCCAGAGATGAAGAAATGGAAGATTTTTTTATCAACTTCTGCAGTCTGAAATTGATCAAACGTACACTCAAGATGCATTGATAATTATTAGTGATTGGAATGTAAAAGTTGGAAACAAAGAATTGGTGGTTGGAAAACATGACCTTGGTGACAAACACTACCAGAGATCACATGATAGATCCTGCAAGACCAGTGATTTATTTTTGCAAATACCTTTTTTCACCATTTAGGTGATTAAACACATTGACCTCATTAGATAGAATTGAGACTGGAGGAGTCCCCTAGACTATGGCCCTGAGTTGCTCTTCAACTCTTGGATTGAAACTATCCCCTGAAGTCACCTATAAACCAAGTAACAGTTTATCCCCAAAGAGGAAGGACTGTCACTCTTGTGTATTGCATTAAAAAAAAAAAAAAAAAATCTATGTAAGACCAAAGGATCAACAGCTGTTTCAAAGTGTAGATGAGACAATTGGGAAGCAGGGGGATTAGGTAAATGTAAGTGAAATAAGATAAATGACATACACAGGAATAAAATTGCCTACATCTGTGCAAACAGATGATAGAGAAGCTCAGTATCATCAGTCAGAATAAGGCCAGGGGCCAGTTGCAGAACAGATCAATTGCTCATACCCAAGTTCAAGTTGAAACTGAAGAAAATTAAAACAAGTCCAAAACCAAAAACAAACAAACAAACAAACAAACAAACTCACTGCCATCAAGTCAATTCCAACTTATACCAACCCCCATTGGGTTTCTGAAGTGGTAAATCTTTACAGAAGTAGATTGCCTAGTCTTGCTTCTGTGAGTGGCTGGTTGGTTTGAAACACCAACAAGTCCAAGAGAGCCAAAAGATGACCTTAGGTATATCCCACCTGAATTTAGAGACCATCTGAAGAATAGGTTTGATACATTGAACACCAGTGACCAAAGGCAAGATGAATTGTGGGCTGACAACAAGAATATCATACATGAATAAAGCAAAAGATCATTTAAAAATCAGGAAAGGATCATTTACAAATCAGGAAAGCAAAATGGATGTCAGAAGAGACTCTGAAACTTAGTTTTAATGTAGAGTAGCTAAAGAAAATGAAGAAATTATGAAGAAAAAATTGAAAAGAAAATTTCAAAGGGAGGCTCAAGAAGACACAGCAGAGTTTTATAATGGAATGTGCAAAGATCTGGAGTTAGAAAACCAAAAGGGAAGAACACACTCAGCATTTCTCAAGCTGAAAGAACTGAAGAAAACAGCTAAGGCTTGAGTTCCAATCTTGAAGGATTCTATGGGCAAAATACTGGATAAATGTTGTTGTTGTTAGGTGCCGTCGAGTCATTTCCGACTCTTAGCGACCCCATGCACAGGAGAACAAAACACTGCCCAATCCCACGCTAGCTCCATGATCCCCATTATAGGGGATCATGCCCATCATTGCAGCCACCATGCCAATCCATCTCATTGAAGGTCTCCCCCTCTTTTGTCGACCCCCACCCCACCAAGCATGACATCCTTCTCCAGGGAATGGTCTCTTCTGACAACATGACCAAAGTAGGTGAGACAAAGTCTGGCCATTCTCGCTTCCAAGGAGCATTTCAGGTGCACTTCCTCCAGGACAGATCTGTTAGTTCTTTTAGCAGTCCATGGTACTTTCAGCATTCT